TAAAAACTCAAACAAGAATTCCTCATCTTCTAAGAGGCTGAGTATAAAAAGGCAAAAATGGTGAATGAGGATGGTGGAATGGATAATTTCAAAGATGAACAGTACTTCTGGCAACTCTTCTTAGCACTGAACTGACACAACCTGATTGATGTTCTGCTATATATCAGTGCCAACGTTTCCCTCAAACAGTTCTGTTTCATTAATGGGATTCCCCAACAACTTTACTTATCAGCTTAATATTTCTTTAGCTTTCTAAGTGTCTAATAGAAGAGCAGAGTCAGACCATGTCACTGAGATTTCATTGGAAGCATACTTAAGATCAAGTCTAGTCTTATCTAAGGAACTTGGTTTAAAACAGTAAGATGTAATGTTTTTCAGGAGTTGCATTTTTTAAAAAATTAATCATTTCTAACAGGTATGATTAGCTTTTTTCATCATTAAAACCAAATTGCTTATCTCCAGTCTATACTCAATATAGCAGTAGTCTAACCTTTTCACTACACTTTGGAAAATAAAGTCTTTATATCTTTGTCTGACACAGGAGTCCCTTTTAAAAATTAGCTCAGATCTTTTCACTCTTCTGCTCAAAGTCTTGTAAAGACTTCCCATTTCACTAGGAGTGAAAGTCGAAGTCCTTACAATGCCCAAATAATCTGTACTCCTCCCTCTTGGTCTCCTACTACTCTATCCCTTGACTGCTCTGACCTGGTCTCCTTTCTGTTCCTGGAATATTCAAAGCATGCCCCTTGCCATTGTGTTTCTATTCTATTTGTTCCCTCTTTCTGGGATGCTCTTCCCCAAGAAATCTACTGCCTCACATCTTTAAATATTTACTCAAATCTCCTTTTTTCAACTAGGCCTACCCCAAGCACCCTACTTAATGCCACAAACTCTCATTTTCCCTTTACACTCAGATTCCCTTTATCTGCTCTACATTTTTTCAATAACACTTATCACCTTACAATAGTACATGGTTTATTTATTTATTTACCATTTATTAACTACCTCCCTTTGTTGGAATATAATTCTCAGGGGACCAGTTTTAGTTAATGAGGTATCCCACCTATTGAGAATACTGTCTGACACACTGCAGGCACTCAGTAAATATTTGATGAGTGAGCGATGAATGTCTTTCACCATGTTTGTTATCTTAAATATAAGTAAAAAACTGGAAACAAGATTAAACAGATGACACTGTCAGTATTCCTCTGTACAAATCTAAGTTTCAGCCACCTTTGGAGTCAACAAGGTTCCTATCTGACACTGCCTTAGTCAAGGCTCTTTCGTTGCTTCCAAAATGGTTCCTCCTTCACCTGTTTTTCAGAATTATGTTTAAAAAGCACAAACTTAATCAGATCACTCAACTACCTTAAAATGTCTATTTATCTTAGAAAAGAAAGTCTTTACTCCCTAGCTTGACATAGGTGTCCCATAATCTGACCTCAGTCTAATTTCTAAGGCTCATCTTCCACCTTTCCTTATAAACCACATGATCTTGCCACACTAGAACATACATGTTTCATTTTTGCACAAGCTATACTCTGATATGAATATTTTACCCTTTCTTCACCTTGGCAGATAATATATCCTTTATGATCCAAGGTAAACGTCACATCTTTGATACAGTCTTGTACAATATCCCAGGGAGAAGTGGTGCCTTCTTCCTTTGCTCCCAAAGCACTTTCTACACACACCTACTAAAGCATTTAGCACCAGGAATAAAAAACACTGTATGTATGTCTGTGCCTATTTCCCCCCCTAATCTGTAGGTTCTTACTTTTCTTCATCTCTATACTTGACACATTTCCTTTCAAATTCACCCAATAATTGGCATAGCACATAACTTGTACAAAGCATTAAATAAATCGAGTAAGAGTGCTAATGGATTTTAATATTTTCCTAGATTATTATTATTGAAGTTCTATAATACAATTATATTAGCAGCAACTATTTTTCATGACCGAGTACTTGCTACTAGATACCTAGAAATTACAGTCTGAGTCTACAATTAAAAAAAAACATTTTTATTGTTACTATCCTAAATATAAGAACCTGAATCATAGAGTGATGTAAAAGCCAGTTAACATACTGCTCAGGCTTTTAACTGTCATGAGGTCATGTCATAGAAGTTAGAATTTGGTTTTATAGATTTCCCTACTATTCATTTCTGGGTTTCAGAAATACCCTTAGTATTAGGTAAAGATGAGGGTTATGTCCTTGAAACTGACCAAGAGCAACTTTCCTGGTGAGATTAATAGCTTGAAAAATCAACATACTATAACTGACTAAACATTTTATTTAATTCACAAAACATCTTAAATTTGCATCATTTTAATTTCCACTGGCATAACATTAGAGTGGAAAATAACTTCTATTATATTTACCTGCATTCCTATACACTAACAATGAACTAGCAGAAAGAGAAATTAGGAAAACAATTCCATTCACAATTGCACCAAAAAGAATAAAATACCTAGGAATAAACCTAACCAAGGAAATGAAAGACCTATACCCTGAAAACTGCAAGACACTCATGAGAGAAATTAAAGAATTAAAGATACCAATAAATGGAAACACTTCCCATGCTCATGGATAAGAAGAATTAATATTGTCAAAATGGCCATCCTGCCAAAAGCAATCTACAGATTCAATGCTATCCCTATCAAAATACCAACAGCATTCTTCAAAGAACTAAAACAAATAGTTCTAAAATTCATATGGAACCACAAAGACCCTAAATAGCCAAAGCAATCCTGAGAAGGAAGAATAAAGCAGGGGAGATCTCGCTTCCTAACTTCAATCTCTACTACAAAGTCACAGTAATCAAGACAATTTGATACTGGCACAAGAACAGACCCATAGACCAGTGGAATGGAATAGAGAGTCTAGATATTAACCCAAGCATATATGGCCAATTAATATATGATAAAGGAGCCATGGACATACAATTGGGAAATGAAAGCCTCTTCAACAGCTGGTGTTGGGAAACTGGACAGCTACATGCAAGAGAATGAAACTGGATTACTGTCTAATTCCACATACAAAAGTAAACTCAAAATGGATCAAAGACCTGAATGTAAGTCATGAAACCATAAAACTTTTAGAAGAAAACACAAGAAAAACTCTCTTGAATATAAACATGAACAACTTCTTCATGAATATATCTCCACAGGCAAGGGAAACAAAAGCAAAAATGAACAAACGGGACTACATCATGCTAGAAAGCTTCTGTACAGCAAAGGACACCATTTTTCTGTAGAACAAAAAGGCATCCTATAGTATGGGAGAATATATTTGTAAATAACCTATCCAACAAGGGGTTAACATCCAAAATATATAAAGAACTCACATGCCTCAACACCAAAAAAGCAAATATCCCTATTAAAAAATGGGTGGAGAATATGAACAGACACTTCTCCAAAGAAGAAATTCAGATGGCCAACAGGCACATGAAAAGATACTCCACATCGCTAATTATCAGAGAAATGCAAATTAAAACCACAATGAGATATCACCTCACACCAGTTAGGATGACCAGCATCGAAAAGACTAAGAACAACAAATGCTGGCGAGGATGTGGAGAAAGGGGAACCCTCCTACACTGCTGGTGGGAATGTAAGCAATATGGAGGTTCCTCAAAAAACTAAAAACAGAAATGTCATTTGACCCGGGAACTCTATTCCTATGAATTTATCCAAAGAATACAAGTTCTCAGATTCAAAAAGACACATGCACTCCTATGTTTATTGCAGCACTATTTACAATAGCCAAGATATGGAAGCAACCTAAGTGTCCATCAGTAGATGAATGGATAAAAAGATGTGGTACATATACACAATGGAATACTATTCAGCCATAAGAAAGAAACAAATCCTACCATTTGCAACAACATGGATGGAGCTACAGGATATTATGCTCAGTGAAATAAGCTGAGAAAGACAAGTACCAAATGATTTCCCTCATTTGTGGAGTATAACAACAAAGCAAAACTGAAGGAACAAAACAGCAGGAGACTCACAGACTCCAAGAAGGGACTAGGGGTTACCAAAGGGGAGTGGTGGGGTGGGTGGGTGGGGCGGGAGGGAGAAGGGGAATAAGGGGCATTACGATTACCACACATAACATAAGGGCTGCACAGGGAAGGCAGTATGGAACAGAGAAGACAAGTAGTGACTCTATAGCATCTTACTAGGCTGATGGAAAGTGACTCTAACGGGGTATGTAGTGGGGACTTGATAATGGGGGGAATCTAGTAACCACAATATTGCTCATGTAATTTTATATTAATGATACCAAAATAAAAAATAAAAAAATATATTAAATTTACCTTACCTTTCCCAAAGCCTCATTCCATTAGAATTTTCCAGAATGATTACAATGCTTGAGTGTCTGTCTGATATAATGTGAACAAGACAGGATGATGGTTTTGGAAAATGTGCCATGTTTCTACTTACTAAAGTATGAAAAGTGATTTGGAAGACTGCTTTAATAATATGCTTTTCACATTTTTCTTGCCCTACCTTGAAGGAGATAAGTGAGATAAAGGAAAAAGAATAGGCAAAAGTTCATGTTCTTCCTGAATCGGCTGTTAAAAAATCCAGTATGATTTTTAGAAAATATTTACTCTAGAGAAGGCATTGCAGGGGGCATAAAATGAGTCCTGATGTGTAAGTAATTAAGGGTTAGACGTTTTAAGAGATCATCACCTCTTCATTTCTACCAGGAAGTCAGAGGTCCACCTCAGTACTTCTCCCCAACCGGTTAGTTGGTCCCAGACCAGATTCACGACTGGACAGAACCAGCAAGTGTGGCCCTCTGGACAAGATTCTGCTTTGATTTACAGCAGTTATATATGCATCGAAATCTCTAGAGTTAGTACTAAACTGGATTATCAGGCTATCTGTGTGCGATTTAAGAATGCGGATTCACGTTGGATATGATTGTAAAGCCGACCAGCTCTTGGAATTCAGCCAATGGAATGGCTGGGTCTGATAGTGGTTATGGCGCCAGAACCTGACCCGGCAAAAAGGACACAAGTAAAAGGCCCTTCCTGTGCAGTGAAACTTCAAGTGCATTGCGAGACCCTTCCTATCCCTTCATCCACTTTCTGCCAACTGCACCGCTGCACCATGCCCCTCTGTAGGTAAGTGTTGATGTCCACCAAGCCACAATCCCTGTGAACTAGGGCGGAGGGAATGGCTAAAAGACAAAAGTGACTCCAGGGACTGTGAAGCCTGAGAAACGCCTAGCGGCACAAAGGCAACGCAGTCCCCTCCACCTCTGGTTATCCCAGCCGAATGGTAAACCAAAGCTGGACCAATTCACCAGGCCCACCAGGCCCTGGGTTCTCATCCGTTTCCCGTCCCCAAGGGTTTCAGAAAAGCAAACCATGTCTCCACCAAAGATTTAGCAATCGGTGGAATCATCTCGCTACTAACCTCGCTCTTTTCTCCTTGCGCACGGCGGGGCTCCAGTTGCCGGCTTCCCAAAGTCAGGCGAGGTTGGGCTGGAGCTGAGGTGCCCAGATGCACGGCCGAAGACGCCGTCCCCAACGCCAGCATTGTGCGCATGTGCTAAAGGGGAAGAGAGGGCGGGGCGGGCCGGCCCGGTCGCTCCGAAACCAAAGAGAAAGTTCAGTTTAACGGTTGGCTAGGAAAGGCAGAGCATTTACACTATTGGTAGAGAATAGAGAAAGAGGTTTGGCCTCAAAGGCCTTACTTTATGACCATTGGGTGGGATGACTGTCAATCTAAGCCTGGTGGGCGGGGCTGCATGAGCGGTCAGTGAAAGCGGCCTTAGCAACGGCTTCTGAGCTGTGAACACTGAGTCGGGCTGCGCGGAGGTGGGGTGAAGCCGGCGGTCCCGGCTCAGGATGGGGACATGGTAAGTGCGAAACTAACCCCTTGGTGGTCTAGCGCTGGGACTGAAGTTTCTCCCCAGCTCAAGGAAGGACTTTCGCTTAGTTTACGAAATGTGTTTTTCACTTTTTCATTAGCCTCGAGCGTCATCAGTAACCCCTCCTCTGGTCGCCGAATAGAAGCACATTGTCCCTGGCTCCAAGGACAGAAGAGCTGTTCTCCAATTCATTATTTCTCTCGTTAGCCCCAGCAACCACTAATTCCAAGTCTTTGATAGGTTGCGTGTTGGAAACAGAAACCACTCTTTAATCAGAAGGAAATAGATAACAGAGAATAAGATGCTTAAAAACTGTTGGAGGGCCTGGGCCTTTAAAAAGAGGGTCTGAACTCTAAAAATCTGGCCAGGGGAGCTACAATTTTTATCACTGGAGGGTGGGTGAGGATTCTGAAGGCTGCCACTGGAGCTATTGAGTTGAAGGCCGCACCAGAGTATTTGCAGTCCAGGAATGGAGAATCTGCCGTTATGACAACGTATAACACACGTGAAGCTGGACGCTAGATAGATACACATGAACATGGAATCCAGTAGCTGCCACTGCCACCTCTGCTTCCAAACCCCAAGGTGCAGGCAAGATTCTGAAATGAAGCTGTAGAACTCCAGGAGTAACTCTGTGACTTAGCTTGCCAGCAGAAAGGGGCAGATTGCAGGAAGATGATATCCACCTCCCCTGGATACTGATAACTGGTCCAACTGTTACTCTTATCCAGACCCTTGGATTCGTTTTTCACTTGGAAAATGTAGCTTTTCATTTCCCATCATATGCAGTATAGAAAAGTATGCTAGAAGGTGGGAAAGTGCTTTCTGCTTAATAAAGCACTTTATGAAAACCAAAAACTGCTTTTATGTTTCAATCAAGGCTATCCCACAAAATAAATTTTATTATGAGACATTTGGGCACAGATTAAAGTAAATATGCATTAAACAATGCTTTTCAGATATACTAAGTAAGACCATGTGTGTTCCAACATAACACCTACTGTGCTAGCATGCCTTCCGTTGCCTATTTTCCCTCTTAAAGGGCACTACTTTGAAGGAAAAACTTAAGTGGTAAAAAAGAACCAGGCTTTCCACCAAGATAATAACTAAAAGCACAACTGTTAGCAAGGGAAATTGTTGAGGCTCATTATATAGTAGGGAATAGGATACTTGAGTTTTTTTGTATTCTGTAAGTTCATCAATTATTCTGGTCTGGTAACTTTCCCAGTTGCATAGTTTATCTTTCACTCACATATGTATTTATTACAGGCATCCAACTACCACACAAGCTCAGACCAGTGGTAGAAAAGAGCAGCAAAAATTGAATTGAATGAAGCCCAGGAGCAAGAAATTAAGGAGGCCTTTGATTTATTTGATGTGGATGTGTCTGGAACCATAGATGTAAAAGAACTGAAGGTTCTGAAATTCTAATTTTAAAACATTATATAAACCATATCATTTATTTATGGCAATCTTTAAATGTTTAACGTAGTCTTCTGAAAACTTGATATAAAGTATCTTTAGTATAGACACCTGCCACTTCAGTGCGTATACTTACACCGTCGGTGTATATACACCTGCCCCACACCAACAAGACAATGTCCTGTTAAGCATTTTATTCATGTTTTATAAATGAGTAGGATATAGCCCATATGTCACAGTAGGATTAGATCCTAGGTCTGCTGACCTGATTTTCTATGTTTATGCCTACTTCATAGTAAGAAAGAGAATCTGGTAATTAGTAGGTAATTTAAAAGCTAGGAATGACATCATGGCATATTATAACTTATTTGCTTCTTATTTCAGATTGCAATATGCAGGCCTTAGGATTTGAACCAAGGAAAGGAAATCAAACAAATGATAGCTGAGATCAGCAAGGAAGGAATCAGCAGCATTAGTTTTGAAGATTTTCTTGCCCTAATGAGTGTAAAAATGGTATAGTAGTGATTCTTTTTTTCAAAGTAATGCAGCAGCTTTTTATATTTTTTGGCTGAAGCAATCAGAATTTATAAAGAATTGGATCTAGGTCTTTAAAGATGGATGGGATTTTAGATAAATAGGAATAGCAAGATTAAAGATGTTTTCAGGATTTTAATGAAGACTGTCCAGTGTGGAGAAGAGGTTTTTTGGTTAGGAAATAGTAAGGCTGAAACCTTTTTCATCCAACATTTTGAAGCCTTGAAGTCATCAAACATTTCCTTGAGTAACTATTTTTGCCAGGCACTATTCTTTGGAGCATTGAATGAGACAAGCTCTGTTCTCTTGGTATATTTTTGGTATTGGTTATCAATTACTGGGATTAATAAGGGATACATTCTCTTTACCACCCTGTTCCTCTTCCACTTCAACAAACCCTAGGTTTAAGTACCTTAGGGCAGATGTGAATGTTTGTTAAAAATCAGAGCAGTAAATAAAGTCAGAGCTCAGCTGCCTGTGACATTGCTGCTCTAGGCCTCAAAGACCTGTAAGTCCAGCTTGATAGAATAAGTAAATGAAAGATTAGTGACATTTAGTTGTTTCTGTTTTTAAAGACTGATAAAGATGAAAAAGAAGAAATATTGAAGGATTTCAAACTTTGATGATGACAATACTGGCAACATAACACTAAACAATATAAAAAGGGTTGCTAAGGAACTAGAGGAAAATTTAATAGATGATGAACTTCAGGTAAATTTTACTTATGACTTGCATACATAATTAGAGTTATAATTTACATATATACTTATACAATTATAATTTATATGTGATTTGTAGTTCTTTAGTTATACTCAAATACATTTAAAATTTGAGCTTGTATTTGAATACATGATTCCTTTTTGATAGATTTCATATATCATTTATATTTTGTTTTACAGGAAATGTTTGATGAAGCTGATGGTGATGGAGATGGAGAAATAAATAAGGAAGAATTTTTGAGAATGATGAAAAAGACCACTCTTAATTAATAGTTTTTTTGTTCCTTTTGGAAAGTTAACAGATTTGTTCAGTTCAGTAATATGTAAATGTATTCATTTAAAATTTTTAGTTTATGTGCACAAATTGGTCTCTGGATGTCTACTCCACATGAGAAGTTACATGTTCCTACCAATGTTATTAAATCTACAGCATCAAGAAAGAAACTAATGTTTTCCTTGAACCATGAATCCAAGAACAGTATTAATTCCAACTGCTGTTTATAGAGTCTGATGGTCCAAAGACTTTTTATAAATTTCATGAAATTGACCTCACATCCAAATGATTTGGCAAACAAGCCATTATTCTCCCTATTATTTTCCTTTTGTGCAACACTTAAAAAAATAATAAACATTTGCTTTTTAATCAGATATTCTGATATGTAAAGTATTAAACTATCTGGCAACTATATTATTAATTTTTATAAAGATATTCAAAGAAGCACTTGTATCATCAAGATTTTCCTTAAGTTTGACCCTATAAGTTAACATTTATTTGAAAACCTCTGACCTAGGACAGGTGCTAGGGATTTTACATATGCTATCTCAGTTAATATATCACAGCTTGCAAGCTGGTAGTATTAGCTCTGTCTTAACTACACAGGAGAAAACCAAAGAGAACATTAAAAGTTAATTGCCTATTATAAATAAAATATGGATTCTAAATCTTGTATGCTTTCCTATAGATAAAAACTCAACTTAGTGTATATTTTCTAACTTGTTTAATTCTGACTCTTTGTAACTTAACTTTGTTTTTTGTGAAAGAGCCAGACTTTTGGGAAAGGCAGTCTGCATGCAGTCTTTTGACAACCACTGGGCTGCATAAGAATGGGCCTTGAAAAACACTTCCTTATCAGCAGACAGTCCTTAGAGTGTGTGCTAGACTTGTCACCTTGTCTGGAAATATTGTTCCCTGTTTCAGACTTAAAGTGTACTTTTTTGTTCTGCTTAAGTATTGTGTTATATGGCACCTGATCAACCCCACTGCTAAATCTTTCTCCTTTAGGGAGGGGATAGGGGCCTTTTGCTGCACAAGAGGAGGGGTGTGTGCAGGCCAATTGCCCTGTGTCAGCTTTTAGGAAGGACCTGCTGGCCATGGGAAAATCATGTTCAATTCCTGAAGCTGATCTTGCTCTCTCTTCTGTGTATAAGTAAAGCACTGTTTCATCCAGTACTTGACTGTACTGTGTTTTCCTTGGCAATTCTGACACGGAGATGCAGTGAGCAGAAGCACTCAGACTTCTGTTCTGCTCTTGTTCATAGGCAACAGATGCCACTTGCTGATCGCAAACTCTTCCTAAACCTAGCACTCTGGAGCAAGAAAGGCTTCTAGAAAATGTAACTTTGATTGCCCCACCTGGTTGATTTTCAGCTCAACTGAAATAAAAACTGAAGTTTTTTGTTTTATAAACACAAGAGGTTTTCACTATTTGATTGAAGTAGAATGGCATATGCTCATGAACATTCTTAAGTGTTTCACAGTATCTTTAATTTCTAATTATGTAGCATTTCCTTCTAGACTAAACATGCTTTATATGTGAAAATTATGGCCATTAAGTTGTTAAAAGTGGGTAATAAAAAATACACATAAATTCAGAGTTCTAAATAAAAGTGTCCCCGTTTGAGCTCCAGTTCTCCCCATAGACAATTTTTTGTTTCTTATGAATTATTTTTGTTTCTTATGAATCCTTGCAGAAGATGCATACACATATGCACATGCATATAGATTTTTTTCTACAAATGATAGCATACTACTATATATATTACATAGATTTTTTTCATTTAATTGAGAGTTCAGAATAATACAAATAAAATGATTCACTCTAATGGCTATATAATGTTCCATTGTAAAGATTATATTTTGTTTGACAGTCTTCTATTGCAGACATTGTTTACTTCTAATATTTTGCTTAGCATAGTATCCTTATATATCTCTGTATAGATGTGAGTATAGAATTCTTAAAAGTGAAATGGTTGAGTCAAAAGCATTTCAATTTAAACATTTTTTACTTCGTAGATTTTGCTTTCTAAAAAGATTTTTGCCAAATTATATTCCCAAGAATATATGAAAATGTCCATTCTTTGGTAAAGTATTATCAAACTTTTTGATTTCTGCCAATCTGACAAATTGTAAGTCATATTGCATTATGTTTTAATGTGCATTTTTCTTATGAGAGACATTGAGTATCTTTTCATATTTAGGATCTATTTTTCCTTTATATTTATGTCTATCCATGTCCTTTGCCTAGTTTTTGGTTGTTTGAAAAATTTATTGATTTATATAGGAGGTCTTTATATACAAAGGAAGTTAATCTTTGTCATATGTGCTGCATGTATTTTCCTGTTATTTGATTTTTATTATGATTCACTTTAAATTTTAAAAGTTTACTTCATGAGATGATTTCTGCAGATGTTCAAACTATGTAATAGTAAGATGGCAATGATCCATCTTTAACAATATTTTCACAATGACCATATTACTCCTACAAGACTGTAGTCTAACTCTTAAAAAGAGAGGGATTCTTTATCAGACCACTGAGTTTTCTATTTGAAATATAATCATCTTTACTTTTTAATTGATATGATCTCGGTTTAATCCAATACTGGAGTAAGGGAGAGTTTATGGGCATTAGATGTGCTTGAGTTTGCTATGTTTAACTGATAAACTCTTGTGTATCCAACAAAAATGCCTCAAATTCTAAGAATGGCTCTGGGAATACTGCTAGAACAGGAAGACCCAGGACCAAGCTGGGAGTCTTGAATGATTCTGGGACATAATTCAGGCTTCTGTTACTGCCCTAGCAAAAATTAACTCCTGTATGATAAGGTGAAATTTTGGGGAGTATTTGCATCTAAAAATGTTTCTCTACTAAAAAATACTTTTTTTGGAGATATGTTTTGTAAAAAAATGGAAAATTGTGACTATTTCATGGTTTTACAATCAGGTAAAGGCAGATAAGGTAAGATGATGAGACTTTATCTTACATGTCAAATAAGGTTTGAGGCATTTTAGCCAAAGATCTCAGAATTCACCTGCTTTCATCCCAGAATAAATTCAAACTTTTCTAGTTATCTACATTTCCCTAATTCTCCTTGGAGCAAAATCAAATCTAACAGTATGTGGACAATTTAAGAAGCTGCCATGAAGGTGGTTGAAATTAAGAATGATGCTTATTGAACCATATGCACTAAAAGGGAATTCATTTCCATCAATTAACATCAAAGTTTTTGGATTGTCTATTTTTAGGGGCTGTGAGAGATACAATACAGACTTACTGTCTCTAAGTTGGCTGGTAGTAGGCAAAGCCAAAGACTGAGTTCATGTGGCAGGCAACTTCTGAAATGGCTCTCAATGATCCCAGTTTCCTGGTTTCATTGCCCTCATGTGTGAACTGGATCTAGTTACTTGCTACTAATGAATAGAACATAGCAAAAGTGATGAGATGAGATCTCTCTTCTGAGAATAGGTTATAACAGACTGGCTTTCATGTACTAGCACTCTCTTCCCTTTTTGCTTGCTTTCTCTGGTGAAATGAGCTACGGTGTATTGATCTGCCCTATGAAGAGGTCCACATGGCACAGAACTGAGGGCAGCCTCGAGACAACATCCAGTGAAGAATTGAAGATCTCAGTCCATTGCCCACAAAGAACCAAATCCTGTCAACAAACATTTGGATGAGCATGGGAATGGATCCTTTTTAGTAATATTTGTTAATGATGTTAAAATTTTAATATTTAATAATCTAATAGTATTTTAATAATTAAAAAATAATAACATGTTGAAATTGACCCTTGAGGTGGACTGCAGTTCCAGCTGACACTTTGAATTCAACCAGTGATAAATCCTGAAGCCAAGGGCTTAGTTAAGCCATGTCTGGATTCCTGAACTATAGAAACTGTGAGACAATAAATGTTATTTTAAGCTACTAAGTTTTGGAGTAATTAGTTATTTAGCAATAGATAACTAATACAGCCCCCTTCTTGAAACTTGCATGTTGACTTCTTACCTGTGTTGCTGATATATAAGTAACCAAGTAACAAGCCTAAATATTGATATTAAATAAAGGGGAAATTAATTAGACATATCACACGAAGATATTGTTACACAGTAATACCATTTACTAGGGTGCTGCTCTTCCCTAACTGCACACTTTCCAGTCACTTATCTGAAACTCGGCAGGTTTTCTTCCTGCTCTCTGTAGCTTGGTGGCTTAGTCTGTTTTGGGGCAACTATAACAAAAGACTGTGTAGCTTATAAACAAAACTTATTTCTCACAGTTCTGAAAGTTAGACATCCAAGATCAGAGTGACAGCACAGTGAGGGCTCTTTTCTGGATCACAGTCTTCATTGCATCCTCACATTGGTGGAATGGGGCTAGGGAGCACTGAGGGGTCTCTTTCATAACACTAATCCCCTTCATGAAGGCTCCATCCTCATGACTTAATCACCTCCCACAGGCCCCGCCTACTCAGGCCATCATTCTGGGGGGTTGTATTTCAATGTATGAATTTGGCAGGGACACAGACTTTCAGATCATACTGCTTGGATATCATGGGGACTTCAGCCCTCCAATGAGAGGACTCCTAAGAACTTATTTTTAAAGTTCCATTTTTCAGTTCCAGCAACACTGAAGCTGCCACTCAAACAGCCCCTTCCTCTGAGCCACTGGTTGGTATAGATGTCCTGGAGTTCTGACTGATATTTTAGTTACTAACAAGCAGATTGTTGACAGTGGAAGTAATGATCTACTGGACTTAAGGTAGCATTAGAAGTAGAGGTGAGTTCAAGTTTGGTGCTCACACAATCTTGACAACAAAAGCCAAGGCTGATAACAAACACATCAAAAAATGGATAAAAAGACTTATTGAATGGATCACAATCACCCCCAGGAATAAGCAGCAAACCAAGGATACGAGAATATAAAGTAAAATCTAAACAGTTCCTTAATAATTAAGAAACTGAATCTGAAAATAAATGTTTCTGCAAAGAAAACTCTAAATCCAAGAAGCGCATTGGTCATTTCTACCATTTAAGGAAGATCTAATTCTTTCAGAGAAAGAGAAAGAGGTAACTCTTCCAAAGTAGGTTTATGAGTCAGCAAAAACTCCTTACCAGCACCTATTAGGATAATGTCTTTTATCCAAATTAGGTTTATTCCAGGAAAACAAGATATGCTTAGAATTTGAACTTTGATCAATGTAATTAATTTATCACATTTTCAGAATTAAAAAAATCATTTTATTATTTCAGTAGGGTAAAAAAATCTCCACATTTGATAAAATTTATCCTCCTTTCATGATAAAAACTTTCAGCAAACCAGGAATAGGAGAGAATTTTTGTAACCTGTATGAAGGTATCTACAAAACCTATA